GCAGCGTGCGGACGCAGCACCCGGTCCATGAGGCGCTGAAAGGTGGTTGGGGCTCCGAACAAGCCGAACGGAAGCGTAACGAATTGGTACAACCCGTACGGAGTGGAGAAGGCCGTTTTCTCCCTGGACTCGACAGACAAGGGAACCTGCCAGTAGCCCTTGGTTAAATCCAGTGTCGTGAGAAAACGGGCCGTGCCCAGCCGATCCAGGAGCTCGTCGATAGGCATCAAAACGTGACACTTCATTCACCTTGCGATAGTCGACACAGAACCATATAGACCCATCCTTTTTCACCACAAGAAAGATGGGGCTACACCAGGCGCTGTGCGACTCTTCTATCACTCCCATTTTCAGCATTTCAGCCAATTCCCTCTGAACGATTTGCCGTTTATGCTCAGGAAGCCTGTAGGGCCGTGAACGCACCGTCACGCCAGGCTGCGTTACAAAATGATGCTCAATGAGAGACGTTCGGCCTGGCAGGGGGGAGAACACATCTGCAAACCGCTGTTGTAACGCGACAACGTCCGCTATCTGGGCCTGTGTGAGGTGGTCATCACAAGGGAGAGAGGCGGGGATGATGGAATTTGGCACCTCCGGCCCCAACTCATCTCTCTCCTTAACCAGGCTTACCAGAGAAGCGGTTTCAACCTCTCTCCACTCTTTAAGGAGATTGAGGTGATAAATCTGCGTGGCCCCTCCCCTGTCCGACTGAGCGACCTCATAGTCAACGTCCCCAACTCGCCGTGTGACCACAAAGGGTCCTTGCCACTTGGCGAGCAACTTCGAGCTGGAAGAAGGGAGTAATACAAGCACTTTGTCTCCCGGTGAAAATTGCCTGAGTCTAGCCCCTCTGTCATACAGGCGTTGCTGACGCTGCTGAGCCTGGAGCAAATTCTCCCGTGACAACCTCCCCAAAGTGTGGAGTTTCGCTGTCAGGTCCAACACGTACTGAATCTCATTCTTAGCGGGGCTCGGACCGTCCTCCCAGCTTTCTTTAATCAGGTCGAGCACCTCACGTGGCTTCCTGCCGAACAGCAGTTCAAAGGGAGAAAATCCCGTGGAGGCCTGGGGCACCTCCCGCACTGCAAATAACAGAGGGTCTAGCCAGCGATCCCAATTGCGTTCATCCTCGTTAATGAACTTACGAATCATGGACTTTAAAGTCTTATTCAGCTGCTCCACCAGCCCATCCGTCTGAGGGTGGTAGACGCTGGTCCGAATAGATTTAATGCCCAGTAATTCGTACAGTTCCCGCAGTGTACGAGACATAAACGACGTGCCCTGGTCAGTCAGTATCTCTTTCGGGATTCCGACTCGGGAGATGACCTGAAACAGTGCCTGCACCACACTCTTTGCAGAGATGGTGCGCAGCGGGACTGCTTCCGGGTACCGCGTTGCATAATCCACCAGGACTAATACAAAGCGGTAGCCTCGTGCACTCCGATGAAACGGCCCGATGAGGTCCATGCCAATGCGCTCAAACGGGACCTCTATGAGTGGGAGCGGGCGCAAAGGCGCTTTTGGTATGGCCGGCTGATTAACAAGTTGGCAGTCCGGGCAGGACGCGCACCAGCGGCGCACATCCGCTCGGATGCCCGGCCAATAAAATCGAGCCGTTATTCGCTCCAGAGTTTTTTTGTATCCCATATGCCCTGCCATGGGGTTATAATGAGCCGCCTGGAAAATCGTTTCCCGGCGGCCCTGCAGCACCAACAACTGGGTGTGTGTCTCCTCCGTGCGAGTGTCACGACTCACTCGATATAACCTATCTTTTGATAAAATGAAGCGCGGGTAGGTCCGCACGGCTTCAGGGCGCACCACGTGACCATCAATCTCAATCACCTGGTCAAAGGCTGAGCGTAGGGTGTCATCACGAGACTGCTCCAGTGGGAAATCACCCATGGGGGAAACCTCCGGAGCCGGCGGGGCTTCCCATGAAGGACCCGCCGTCTCCCCCTCCCTGGAGTCAGTGTCGGACGACCCCGCATCACCGCTGAGCGCCGCGCAGACACTACATGCTACTAACGGTCGTGATCGGTATTTCCCGCATACTGTCCCAACAGATGATGAAACCCCGGCTAATTCGTGCCCAGAATTAGGGGATGCGACAGGCGCGGGCTAACCGCAGCCGTTACCCTATGCGTTTTGCCCTTATACTTTAATAACAGCGGCACTATGGGATACCTGTGAACATCACCATGAACACACTTCACCTCCACCCATTCTGCCTCCAGCAATGCCCCGGGGCGAACCAAGCCTTGGTGCACGAGGGTCTGCGTGCAGCCCGTGTCCACCAAAGCATGGCGTATACCCCCTCGAGTCCTTACCGGAAGGCTGTACGTCCCTCCTGGACCGGAAGAGGGTGCTGGGGCACCGGCAACGCGGAACACCTGCCCCACCTCCATCAGAGGACAGTTCCTCCTCAGGTGTCCCGGTTGCCCGCACTCCTGCCCCGGCGTCTGCGCTGTTTTCCGTGGCTCAGGGGCGGCACTGCTCATGTCTGATCCCTGGGAAGGCACAAACGCAGCAAAAGGATTAGTGGGGCTCAGCGCCGGCGCCCGCTCTGCCTGCCCCGGCGCAGGTACCCGGCGCCTTGGTGCCGGCACTGGGGCTTGTTTGCTCGGCCTCCGGCCGCCGTCCCCGGGTTCCCCCGCTCTAGCGGCAAGGTGGTCCTCCGCCAACGTTACCGCCACCTCCAGACTCGCGGGACGGTGGCACCTGACCCATCTCGCCGTCTCTGCAGGCAGCCCCTCCATGAACTGCTCCAGCACCACCTTGTCCACCAGCAGCGTCTCGCCCTCTGACGATCCCGGCTGCAGCCAGCGCACCGCCACGTCGTGCAGCTTCCGGGCCCAAGCAAACGGCCGATCTGCCGCGGCTAGCCGACAGGCCCGGAACCGCCGGCGATGGTCCTCAGCGGTGAGCCCCATCCTGTCCACCACCGCCCGGCTCACGTCCTGGAAGCTGCTCCTCGAGGTCGGCGGCAGACTCAGGGCCGCCGTCTGAGCCTCCCCCGACAGCAGAGGAAGCAAACGTGGAGCCCACTCCACCTGCGGCCACTGACAGGCCTCCGCCGTGGCACGAAAAGTCCCCAGGAAAACCTGGGGGTCGTCCCCGTCCCCCATCCGGGGCATCGCCACTGACAGCGGTGGAGGCTTCGGCGGAGCAGCGGCTCCAACCAGCCGCTCCAGAACCAGCGTCTGCCGGTCCGTCTGCTCCTGCAGCGCAGCCAGGTGAGCCCGCTGGACCGCCGCCTGGTCCTGGCTCATCTTCGCCATCTTCGCCAGAATCTGCGCCAGAAACTGCAAAGGCTGGGCGGGCGGCGCAGCCTGTGGGTCGGACATCCCCACGCCGGCTGGACACAGGGTTTCGGCACCACTTGTGAAATGCACTATACACAGGTACACACACACACAGGTCTTTATCACCAGGTTCCACATTTATTTACAATTTTCTCAGGTTATGACTGAACACAGTCTGACAGCTGTCGGTCCCAGCTGATTTCCCTCTCTTTCCGCTCCTCTCCGTCTCACTATAAAAAGGGAAGGAAACCATTATCAGTCCAAATCGCCATCAGCTGTTCTCACCGGCATCTCCAGCACCGCCCCGTTGAGCCCACTGCACCACTCCTCCCCTGCAGACGCGCCCAGGACCACACCTCCGCCACACATGTATATACTTTGGCATAGACAGTAAATAAAAGATGGCCATAGCCACTTTGATGTTAGCCTTTGGTTTTTGGGAGTGCATTTTGAAGCTTCATAGTGACCCCATTAATGGAGGTAAAACCTAACAGACAGTCCATGCCGTACTCCTAACTTTGGACATGTTAATATCCAAAAGGATTAGCTTAATCTTGAAGCAAGCCCCAAGAGTTGGATTTTTAGCTTTTTGCATTACTACTTTTTTTCACAAGTCCACAGTTAGTACCCAGTGTTAGCAGCTGGAGGCGATCCTTTGACAGTATTATAGCTTCAGCTGCTGTGTGTTGCAGGTGCTGGTAGAGCTGGTGAATGACGAGAACGTAGCAATGATACTGGATGAGCTGAAAGGATACTGCACTGATGTCAACACTGACACTGCCCAGGCTGCAATCTCAGCAATAGGTAAACATGTTCACACATGCTGCTGTGTGCCAGTATTATGTAATTTGACACTCAGGCTCTGTTGTGTCTACTATTGTAGTTTTTTTTTCTTCAGGTAGAGACTGCTGTATTAATGAGGGTGTAGTGATTAGGAGCACTAGATTGTAAATAATATGGATTTAGTAGCACATCCTGATATTCAAATGTTTTGTCTTACTCTGTTCATACTGTATTAAATGAAGGCTGGTTTATATTTATAAGCCTTCATGTTTTTGCTGTGTTCCCGAACCTGTGTGTGTGAAGTATATGTTGAAATTGAAACAACTGAATAGAAAACATTTTATCTCGCTATAAGCACCAAAGTTTGGGACCAAGACCATTCCAGCTCTGTGGTTCCACTACCCAGACTCATTGTGTTATGAGCTACGAATTAAAGGATTTTTTTCTCTAAATGTAACTGCTTTTCATTTCAAATTTAAATTGCTGATGTTAATGTTAATCTTACACACCAGTAGACACACTCTTTCCAAATGGAGTTTCTACATTCATTTGTTTTCAGCCTTCCTGAAATGCGAAATGTTAACCCATTTGTCTGACAATAAGTAAATAATAAGCAAAAAAACAAGACATCCCTTTTATTAAGGATAAGAATACACAACGTGCTGCATTTTCTGTGTAGAACATGCTCAGGTTCTAAAATTTCATTATCCATGTGTTTGATCAGTCACTCTAATGCCCTGTGTTTGCCTTTATTGTATGTAGGTCGTATTGGACGCAGCTACAGCGACAGATGTCTACAAATCCTCACTGGGCTGCTTGGACTCAAACAGGATCATATCACTTCTGGTAAAAACATCAGTTCCACAACCTCCCACATACAGTACAGTATACACACAAACAGCTTCATGAACTGGTTTTTTACTCTTTCACCACACTTTTTGTCTCTCTACTCTCCTGCTACCCTTCTCAGCGGTGGTGCAGACAATGCGTGACCTGGTCTGGGTGTGTCCCCAGTGTAGCGACACTGTGTGCCTTGCACTGGATGGCTGCGAGGAAACACTGCAGGATATCCAGGTTAGATCCTGCCATACCTATATACTGAGTGCAAGAAAAAACAATATCATGCCATAAATGAGTATGTGCTGTAGATGTCCTGTTTTGAAAATACAAATTGGCAAAAGTATTATCAGAAATAGACTTAACAGAAACTTTTTTTTATTCTACAGGGCAATATCATGGTATTTTATTTTATATGCTGAAATTTTAATTTACTTTCATAATTCTGCAAAGTTATTTCAGTCTGTTGTAACGATATATTTCAGTTATGGTCAAGTTGGTGAACATAATCCCAAGCATCCATTAATAATTTTTTTCATTTTCTCTATCCTCTTATATAGGGTATAGAGCACTGTGCAAAGTTCATGAGCCTCTCTTTCATATTTTGGTAGAAAACAGCGAACTAGGTTCAGCGCTTTATTGAAACGTGCAAACAAACACAGAAATATAGTAAATAAGGTAAAAACGGGGTTTGTACAATTCTAAGGAGCCTGAAAGTCAATATTTGGTGTAATCAGCTTTATTCTTCAACATGAGTCTTCAGGAATAGTTCTCCAGGCTTCTTTAGGAACATTTAAAGCTCTTCTTTGATGTTGGCTGTTCTCTACTTCAGTAATGTTAAGGTCTGGGCTCTGGGGGAGACCCAGACATGTTTTTCTATTCAGGTATGTTTTTTGCTGGACTGGCATTGTGTTTGGGATCACTGTCGTGCCGAAAAATGAATCTGTTGCCAATCAGATGCTATTACACGAAGGCTCTAAATCTGACGGTAATGTTCTGTCTTCATAAGTCCATCGGTTCTGACAAGATTTCCAACATCATTTGCTCAAATGTAGTCACAAACCTCCATTGTGCTTTACAGCTGTAGACTCTCACTGTTGTATCTCTCTCCTAATCTTCTCTGCGCATTTTGAAAATGATTTCAATCATACATTTCAAATTTCACTTGCCGTGTGTGAGTTTTTCCTTTTGGGGCACAAATGCGTTGGTTTAGAATGCGAAAGCACGTGTTTTGGTGCACAGTTGTGGGGTGTGACTAGGCAACAATGGTGGTTGCACCCACCTGTTCACCTCATATATTGTTTGATTAGTAGAAAGGTAGGGTGAGCATAAGGTGAAACTTTCAGTTGACTGCAGTTTGATACACAATTTGTTGCTGCAGTTTGGTGTAATAATTGGTGCAACAGTTGTATTTGTTTGTGGAGTCTGTGCATTTGGGTTTTTTTTGGATCCCTTGTACTGACTTGTGGTTTGGACAGTGTAATGGTTAAATAAGTAGAAAAAACAGCTCAGAAGTGCATTTTATTTGTTTACTGATGCACATCTTCAGTACCCACGTTTAGCCTGCCACAGCCGTTGGTTATGGAGTAGCCACAATAAGACCTGTTGCCACTGATTGTCAGTCTAGTTATTGTGCAGTTTGTTCTTCAGCCTTTTCTTCCTCTTTACTTTCCTTTATAAAGGACTTTCTGAATGAGTCAACAATTAATGGAGCAGTCAAAAGCCCAGATGCATCTCTCAGGTCCTATGTCTGGTCAGATCTGCTGCACTTCTACTTATGTCTTGACATTCAGATATTGTTCATCTGTCGTAGCTAGTTTTTAGGCCAACAACTTCTTTGTTTCATATAATTTTATGCTAATCAAGCTATCTTATCTTTAAACACAATTTATGAAACATAGTTTAAAGTGAAGAAATGGGAACAAATTACGTGATTTTCTGGTCAGTGATTGCCTCCAAAGTATTTGAATTGATGCCAGGTTTCTTTTCATGCTAAGTGCAAGTGAAATTACCAGATTCCCCCATTAAAGTAGATATATTCTAATGAGTTCCTATTGTTATTCTGCAACTCTGGTTTCTGGTAGTTGTATATGATTCACAGTAGGGCTGGGCCATATTATAACGTTCACGGTAATACCGGTATAATGTTAGGCAACGATAGGAAAATGAAATATCGCGATAGAATATGAGTAAAACGCACATGTGCAGTGCCTTTGTTTTCATACGCACATGGCCGATTGTTGAGTGAAACAGATGAACCAGAATTGGTTTGTAAAAATGGTGCAACTTCAGTGATGTGGAACTGGTTTGGTGTTTGTCCGTCAGATACACAACAAAGCACATTTCTTTGCAGAACATGCAAGCGGCCGTCGTTATTGTCGTATTTGTCAGACTAAGATGCTCTTAAATGTGGGAGTAATCTGGGTCCTAAACTCCGTATGCTTCTGGTCAAACGAACACTGCAGCATCACTGAGAGTTAAAAACTGTCTAAATTCTTTCATCTTTAATAAAACGATCAGCATTGCTGCTTTACCAGGTGTAACTATGAAGTTTAACTTCCAGGCATCCATGAAAACAAAATTTATTACATTTAACGGAGTTAGAAGTTAGCAGGAAGCTAGCAGAAGTTAGCTCGCTAGTTACCTAAGCATGATATTGCATGTTCTGACTGAGAGATTTCTGAAAAAATTCAAACGTACAGCTCTGCTATCACTTCCAACATAAATGAAGACAGGAAACTAAACAGCAGTGACGTTTGTAGGGTTACTGAAGTTGGGCTAGTTGGTATATAATGATGTGCTACGTGATCGCTAGCGACACAGCTATGTTAGCATAACATAAACAGTGAAGCTGGAGAACGAACACTAACACTTTTCCACTTATAAAAGTTAACGTTAAGGTTCCTGATAGTTAGAGACTAATGCAATCGCATGGCAGGATGCTGTAAACGGACCAAACTTCAGTCAGGAGAACAACTGAAATAATCCATCCACAATATGAGGTTAGTCATTAATATACTGCAACAACATGGGAATAGAGCAGCTGCCAGAGAATTCAACATTAATGAATCAATGGTACAGAAGTGGAGGAAGCAAGAAGAATGAGTTTAATAAAGTTTGATTTATCTGACTGCTTTGTTTCGCTTAATGTGTCTTATAATCCCGTGCACCTTATGGTCCGAAAAATACGTACTGCATACTGCAGTTTAATGTTGCAAAGCATCTCTTTTTAACTTCAGTGGATATTATACATGGTTATGCTCAAGATATGTCAGCCCATTTCTACTGGAAATGCCTTTTGGTTAAACTTTCAGCAAGGAATTTGCATTTGCACTGTTACATTTTTATAAAGCTTTAATGTACATAAAAACCAGCTTCTTGTTTAAGTGAAAATAAATGGAAGGTTGTCTTTTTGCGCTAGTAATGTTGTGGAGTTGTATTTTGTCTCGCATCAATTGTATCGTCAGTTATATCGTTATCGCAAATTTTCAAATATATATCGTGATAAATATTTTTGGCCATATTGCCCTGCTCTAATTTGCAGTTGAAACTAATCCTTGTTAGCAGGGCACTAAGTTCATTTGTCTGAAACAAGCTGTTTTAATTTTTCATTACCTGTCCCATGTGCTTAATGCCAGAACCATGTAGCTGAGATAATCAGATTGAAAATATCTGCTCTCACTGCGCTGCTTGCGGCTGCTCTCTTATTCACACTGACGTATAGAAAAAAATCCTTGAAACTTTCTTTTAGACCGCTGAAATATCAAGGGGTGGCAAATGAAGTGAGATAGTCGCCATATGCTCCAATGTTATAATGGCAAACTTGGCAGTATTCTACAGCAGCCCAGTACAAGAACTTTTTTCTGCATAGTTTCCCCCATTATAACGACTGAACGCATTCTTTTGGAGTTGGGGGTGTAATAAATGCATGAAGTAGAAATGCAGATATATTTCAGAACTGTACTTTGGAGTAGAACTGTCTTTTGAGGAGATAAAACAAGCTTGGCACTGGGTAATTATACTACCAAGCATTTCTTGGTAGTTATATTGGACGACAGTGAACCCACTTCTGTTGACTAGACTTAGATCTAAATATTCCACTGCCTCCTTCACTAGGGCAGGCAGGCTTTGCTCTGGTTGCTGGGTGTGTATGGGGAGCGAATTTCCACTGCCCCCTACACTTTGGAAGTGTTCATCGATAGAGTGAGAAGCGAGGCTTCTCTGGGAATCAAGATGGAGCTGCTGACAGCCACCATGAGACTTTTCCTGTGTCGGCCTGCTGAGACACAAGACATGCTGGGAAGACTGCTGCACTACTGCATAGGTTTGTGTTTATGTGTGTTCACATATGTGTATACAGACAGATCATGATAAAAATAGAAAATTTTTTATGCCCTTGTGTTTTCCAGAGGAGGAGACAGACATGTGCGTGCGTGATCAGGCTCTTCTCTACTATCGCCTGCTTCATTGTGGGATAGAAAAGACACGCGAGGTCCTTCAAGGTCGGAGGTCAGATCCCTCTCTGGGTGTTCTGATTGGGCGTCCCGCCAAGCCTGTCAGCCAGTGGGCACGCTGCTTTAACACGTTGGAGCCTCTGAGCCAGGGTGCTGTAGAGGCCGAGTCAGACAGCAGGGGAAGCCCCGAACACGTGACCTATAACCCCAAGCCAAATGCCGACCTATCAGACACACTGAGCTGTAGTCACATTGAGGAGGTTGATTCAGGTGAGTCATGACACTGAAATCCTTCTGCTTTGAAAATCTGATTGGCTGATTTTTGAAAGCTTGCCACTGACTAAATAGTCAGTGGCAAGCCTTGGCTGTGCTGTGCACAGCGCAAATGTTTTTCACATTTAAACAAAATGCCTGTTCTAAAATAAAAATCCAATGGAGTCTTAAAAACAAACTATTAAAATTACTTCCTTATAATGTTCATGCCAATTCACCATCAGGAAGACTTGCTGACAGAGACCAGCATATATTTAAACCAAAGAATTTGGTTATACAAATTTGTTCTGTTCAAATATTCCCTTCAGTTGAGTTTCCTGTGTCACCTCTTGCATAGAAAATAGGATTTAAAAATGCTAACGACTTATAATGAAGTTGGGTTTCTTTTATGAACTTTTTCTGAGGCATAATAATGACTCTGAAATGTTTTAATTGTCTTACATTTTCTTTTAAGATTACACTTAATGGATCGTCTACATTTTTAAATTCAGTTCTGTTTGTTTGGTGTTTGTGTGGCTGTGTGCCTGCTTTAGATCTACATAGTAAAGGACACGATTACTTCACTCAGGTGAAGCAGTGAGGGTTGTAGAAGATGCAAAGGCTTCCGTGTACACAACATAAATCGTTTAGTAAACCTGACTTGCTTCCTAGCAGATATTTCCAAATCATCTTGTCACCGTTGGACATTTGGGACAACCCTCAAATAAACGAGGCTAAGCTCTGTAAAACTTAACATTTTAGTCCTGAAGAATGACCATCATTAGGTCCTTAAGATTCATCCACCAGGACTGTGGATATTTTAAATCGGTATAAAGATTTGTTCCTATCCAGCTGACAGGTATTCCATTCACAGAAGCACACTGCTAGCGTCTGGACTCTGCAGGGTGGGGTTATAAAAATAAAGTAGATGTGAATTGTTTGCTTGTGTTATCTTTGTGAAGCAACAAGAACTCCCTTTTGAGGGTAAGAGGAGTCGTATCAACCTTTCAGCATGTCCACTACCTGAAGTTGATGTTGGAGGAAAGGCCACTAAAGCACTGTTCGGATATTCTATACTTTTAAATTAGTCGCCTGTGACAATTTTTAGCACCAGGATGAGTTTCTACCTAATTAAATGTTTGAAATGAGTCAGGGGCTAATACTTTGTCCAAATGAGGGATGGTGTAGTTCTTGGAAGGTTGGTTGGTTTCTGGCTTGTCAGGAATGTTGTTCTGGATGATGTCTTTCAAACTCCCATATGTTTGTTTTACCATGGGGCAGTGTTTTTACATGTTGTGGCTAAAACATTCTTCTCCCCACTGCTGGAAAATAAATCTTACTTTTACAGAAGCCTTGGATTCTGTATGGCCACCTGCAGATTCTCAACCACACAACTTTCCATTTATGATTCTTCACTTTCTTTCTTTTAAATTGTTCTAATTAAAATTTTCTCTAAACAAATCTGACAGGATTTTCCACGCCTGTGTTTAGTGTGATTTTGTGGGTTTAATGTTTTACTGTCAAAGTTTAGGACGTTCCTCCTTATGCTGTTCCACGGCATTTAATATGTAAAAATGTGAGGGCAGAGTGAAGAACAGTTTGAAGCCATCTATGATGTCATAGTTGGGGAAGAGGTGCACTAAACCAATAGAAGAATAGTCTCTCACTAACAAGGGAAACATTCAAAGACCACGACAAGCTTGTGAGCCCAATCAACCACAATCAAAGCACACATATATCTGTCTAAGTTCACATTTTGATCACAGGAAAGTCGAGCTCATAGCCATAGTCACTGGGTGTGGGAGTATAGCTTTACTTATTGCATTACCGTAGTCAAGGTTAGTGACTCTGTATGATCATAAGCTCTTTCATTCAGAGGGTTTAACTAACACGGGGGCTCAGCCCTGGCGCAGGGGGCCTCTTGTGCATCGGCCTAACTGGGGGGCTCTTCAACTGGCAGGGAGGTTGTTCCATCCTTGCAGGAGTCCACTCTGCAGGTGGGGGAGAGACATAGGAGAGGTGGAGAATAAACTTAACCTGGAGGTTGTTGTCTTGTGTTGTCTGGGAGATGATTGAATGTTGGGGTGGGTACAGTTTCCTCTGCGGTGGGGTAGGGTGGGCTGCCCCGGGTCCTGTGGGGCTTGGCGGTGCTGCTGCCGTAGGCCCCGGTCTGGATGGGCCTGGGCTCCCTTGCCTTGGTGGGTACCAGAGGACGGGGGTGCCTACTGGGGTCAGCGGGGGAGCTGGCCCTAGAGAGGGGCATCCTCCCCTCCCTTCTTTTCCTCCCTATCCCAGCTACCTCCCTCTTCCCGCTCCACCACACCCACCCACACAGGTAGGGCCTTGGGGTGCGGGTGTGTCACCAGGGTGCAGGGGAGACATCCCCCCCCCCCCCGTCCTCTTCTGGCCACCTGTGCCTCAATTTTATCTCACAACTTAGGCATCCACATTATTTACACTCTCATAACACACACATATATATAGGGCCTTGAGGGTGGGCACGTTAACGGCGTCCAGTGGACGGTCTGTGTATTCAAACCTACCTCTGGCGCCGGTGCCCACCTCTCAATTTTAAATCCATGTAGACATTGAGGGTTCTCGGGAGGGGCCGTGCTAATACCTGCTGCTCTCTGGCAGCAGCACCATGCTCTCCCTTGCTTTAAATGCACTTTAGAGCAACACGCAGCAACACTACACATGAGTGGGAGGAGTGAGGTATGGGGTCTTCACACTGGGTGGCTACTGGGTGACCCCTCTTCCCATGAGGGTGGCACGGATGCCCCTCCGGTGGTCCTCCTTGGGCTCTCGCACTCTGGGGCCTCTGGATGTCTGGGGCCTGGATCTCCTCCATGCCTGCTTCATGCCCTGTGGGACAGGGCTATGGCTCTCTACATCCTCTTGCATACCATTACATGGGGAAACCATTTGAATGCAAGCGCGTTGATCCACACAGGTGTGCACATGGGTGTTCACTGTTCGTAGACTTAAATCACACCTTTCTTGGCTGCTACTTCAAAGCACATTGTGCGCTGTCTGTCTTGCGTGCTGCACAACAACATTCAATATTTAGTATTTACTGCTGTTTACACTTAGCTAGACTAATGTGATGGTGTTGTGTTTAGTATGTTGCTTTGTTGTTGTTTTTTTTTGCTTGTTTTCTATTCTTTTTCTCCCAACAGGTGATCCAGGAGATTTTTTTTCCCCCTTTCTCACTGTCCCTCTCCCCTTCTGTTTTTCTTTTCCTTCCTCTTTCTTTCTCCCTTTCCTATCCCTCACTCATGTCTGTCCCGTCTGTAACAACTGAAAATAAAATAAAATAAATAATAAAAACGAAGGTCGATCCAATGGACCAATACGGCAATGATCCATTTGGCAAAATAAATCCATTGGGTATCCTTGTTGGTCTTCAGACAACAATTTTGACGGCTAAAGAACCAAATGGGACAGGCAACAAAAAAAAAAGAGGGTTTAACTTAGTTTTATATCTAGATGCGCACACACACACACACACACACACACACACACACACACACACACGTTGCTATTGTTTGGTAAATTTTGCTGTGCAGGCTAACTTTGAGTGAAATTCTTGGGTGTTTGTTGGCTTAGCTAATTCACTTTATGGCTAACTGTATAGTGTTGGCATCTCCTGCCTTTATATTTTTCTTTTTTTTTTTTAATGTTATTTTATTTTTATTGTTTCCTGAATGAAGTGTGCTTTTAAAAGCAAAGTCCACAACAACTCAATGACAGAAGCATCATAAAAAGATTTTACGACACAGCAGCAGTGTTGTATTTATATTGAAGAGTGCAGGTATACATAAAAGCATTGTATGTGATGTACTAAAGGTTTAAAAAAAAAGATAGAGAGAGGCTTTATCTAGTAACTGTGACTTAATGTCTCATAATAAATAATGAAATAGCATCACTGGCTGTGACAAAGTGATTAGGCATGAACTCATTTACCACTTGTCCCTTAACCATATGGATAATTTATTTCCTTGTTATTATACAGTCAACCATAATGCTTTATTTTAGACATTGCTGGTTTAACTTTGCTTAACACACTATCCTGGGTTTGTTTGTGGTAGCAGTAGTTACATTCATTATATCAATGCATATGTTTTTTAAAGCAAACACTACTAACTAGTGATGGCCCGCTTGAAGCTGAAGCTCCGGTGCGTGTGTCAAAAAAATCAACACACTGCTTCAGAAGCACTGTGTCGAAGCTTGATTCGTTTAGCCAGAGTCACATGATCAGTGACGTCCGAAGCTTCATTTAGAACCTAACTGCTTCGGTATCTGATTCAATGGTTTATAAGGAAGTGAATCATTCGCAGGATTTGTGGAGTGTTTTGATGGTGACAGATAGCGAACCACTGATCATTCCACTGAGAGATTTGGAGCCAGCAAGGAATAGAGGAGGTTCTGTCGTGTGGGAGAATTTTGAGTTGATTTTTGTCAATCGGGTGGGTTTTCCAGCTTTGTGTTCTGGTCATTTGCTTTTGTTTTGTGCGTGTTTATTATATCTGAAAACAGGGAAAAAGGTAAAATGTCAAAAATCTGCTTCCATAATATAAATATCATTAAAGAACTATAGAAAAACTTCCACTTGACTCTTTGCATGTAATGTTGTAAAAATATATATTTTATTGTTTAATTAATCTGAAAATGTTAGTCTGCCAAATGTGCAGCAATTGGATTTATTTATTCTCTTTAGCTAATAGTTTGTGTGGCCCAGGTAGACTGTATAACTGCATCTCTACCAGTTTCTGTGCGCTCCAGCCTCTTCTGGTCCATGTGAGGGGATTTTCCTTAAGGCAGGAGAAATTATCGCCACGAAAAGGAACAGGTTCGGCCATTGCACAGTGGAACAAATTCTCTTCTTAAATAAAAATGAAAAAGGGCTGCTTTAAATGCATCATGTTTTTAATTTGCAAGTTCATAAGCATTTTCCCTTTCCAGTTCACAATCAATTCTACCCCCAGGTCAAAAATATGTCTGGGAAAATTTCCTTAATATAATATTATTTATATATATACCTTTCTAGCGGTTAATTGCATAAGTGCATGGAGGCAGGACCTCACAGCAGAAGCATACTCCATAATGTGTTGTACATTATCATATGTATATTATATGTAATGTGGTATTTTTCAATTATTGTATTTACCAACATCAAGAACTCACAAGCAAAGAAAGACCACACAATGGTGCATGTTTAAACAAGGAGAGTTTACTGGTCAAAATTATTTATTAAACAAATAAACGACTTTTTTTTTTAACCACCAAAAAATACACGTTCAAAGCAACACATTGGCGGCCCAATATCAGACAGAATTCCACTCTGTAGAGTGAGCAATCTTAATGAAGCAGTTGGTTTTATTTTGTGGATTCAAGCGGCTTTTCATATTTTTGGCCACCAGATGTCACCAGAGAGGACTGTTGAAAAGCTTCGAGTAATGAACCGTTTTTCAATACAAGCTTCAGTGCTTCAGAAAGCTTCATTTGGCCATCCATCAGGTCATTTGAATTTTCTTCTGTTCACAGGCAAATGTCCAGTAAATTATGTTTCTTTATGTTACTTTGGTTATACTTACCACGTTTGTCCATTTATTCAGGTCCTATATCTAAACCAGGTGTGTGGGAAGGGCCGCCCCAGTACTTCCTGTTTATATAGGGTCATGAGGTCATTGATTGCATCACTGGGTGTAACCAAATGAAGGGCTTTTCATTATGTATAGTATTATTTATTTTCTTTAAAGTAGCCTTTGAGTTGTATTGTATGCAGTGATTTACTTCTCAGACTATTTAGCTGAGTAAATGAGTTTGTCAATTTCATGCATAATCATATTCCTATTCTTTGTTTAGAATTGCATTGTTTGGTCTGACCTATTTTTTTCCCCCCAGTGGTAGAGACTAATGAGGTTCAGGTGTGTGTAAAGTCCTGTATAAAGCAAGTGGAATTTTTGCCTACCAGGTTGGTTGGTTGGTTGGTTTTATGGTAGAATGGAGATGCCAGAAATAAAGTATACTTAAAAGAAACTTAAATAGTCTGCTGATGCTGCTTACATTATGCTACCTCACACAGGCTCAAAGCCCACTAGACAAATTAGTACAGTCGCATGAAGTCTTGTGAAAAACTAAGTAGACTCACTAGCTTCTGGAATTGCCTTTTACCAGCAATAACCTTTATAATAATCATTTTCTGTATTATTTGTATTAGTCTCTCATATTACTTAACCATGTTGCATCAGTTCATTGAGCTTTGTGGGCGTTTGTTTATGCATAGCTATCTTATTGCCCCACCGCAGCATTTCCCTTGAGTTGAGAGCTGGTTCTATTTCTGCCTGTATTGTTGACCAAAACAGTACACATTATTTCCCATGACAAATCCTCTTTCTATGCTGGGGTAACTGATCACTTTGAGTATTTAAACAAGTAAGTGCTATACATGAGTGTAAAGCCACACTGATCTCACTTTGGAGATGCTCATAAGTCATGATGCTTATTAGTTATGTGGTAGGTAGTCTAACATGTCTGTAAGTAGGAAGGACAACAAATAAAACCTAAAAACTGCACTAAATATTAAAGAGTCCATGACACCATCTTTATCTGTTAACTTAATTTACTTTAAACATTCATATTTAACTTTCACAGTTTTTATACTGTCACCAAAAAGTTATGTGTATGCACATTTCTAATGGAGCACTGCATTGCAGCGCAGTGTTGCCATGCACTCTGCTTTCACTGCCTCACAAAACACAATGACTAATCTGTCTGCAGGAGGTTATCAAGGTTATTTAACAACACATTGTCATTCGGGTTCAGTTGCTGATATTTTTGCAGTTTTTCTGCTAGAAGGAAATGTCCTCACCTAATGGAAAATGTATGTGTACTGCATGAAAGGAACGGCAGCAATTTCAAGTCTTGTTCTTAAACCAAAATTGAAAATTATAGTGGTATTACAAAATTGGAGCAGTAATAATGGATTGAATTTATATAGCACTTTTCAAGGCACCCAAAGCGCTTTACAATGCCACTATTCATTCACTCTCACACACTGGTGGAGGCAAGCTACGGTTGTAGCCACAGCTGCCCTGGGGCAGACTGACAGAAGCAAGGCTGCCATATTGCGCCATCGGCCCCTCTGGCCAACACCAGTAGGCGGTAGGGTAAAGTGTCTTGCCCAAGGACACAACGACCAGGACAGAGAGCCCAGGGATCGAACCGGCGACCTTCTGGTTACAGATACGCTTCCCAACCCCCTGAGCCACGGTCGCCCATTTAGAGATGTGTTGTAGGTTGCACCTCTTTCCCACATATTTAGTGTAAAACTTTGCTGTGACACTTCAGATTCATGTTTCAATTCCATTTTGTTCCTTTTGCACCAGTTCACAACAATATTAGGTAAAGACCCCACAATATTAGACAGAATGTTCCATCAATCAGATAATACTCATAAGCAACTGTTACAGCCCTAGCAGGGCCTCCTCCTGAAGGTGCCTGTATGGGCGTGTCCTACAATCGCTTTTGCCTGAGGTGCCACCTTTCTCTTTTACACAGTTGACTCAAATACTTTTAATTACTGATGTAAGCCCAGATAAAGGTGAGCTCTGGGCCAGAGTGCCATTTGTGTGGTTGCAACTAGTGAGCTGCTCGGTTGCAGCTAGTGAACTGCTCTTTTTTTTTTTTTTTTTTTTTTTTTTTTTTTTGGACTTACTTTTTAATTTATTGACCAATGCTTGAGTTTTGTTTGTTTCCTTAAATGGTGATAGCAACTTGTCCGTCTCTTTTGCCTCCTTGTCTCCTTTTTCCGACCTGGACACTTTTTGTTACTTTCCCTCATCGCCTTGACCCTTTTACACTTACAACACGGGGTCTTCAGCCAAGATCAGTAAGGCTTAGCTACACCCTACAATAATACAACGCAAACAGAGAAAACCCTCACCTGTCGTTATTGTTGTATGATGAGCTGCTTTTTAAAGAAATATTTTTTATTTATTAATTCCTTTTTTAGCTTTGGGGAAAATATTCTGTGGACTAATGAGACTTGGATGACGTGTTATAACTTTTGTTTTTTTTTGTTTTTTAATGAAGTTATAACTGATGGAACCATGAAGCCCTGAAGTGGTCCAGGAAGCAAGCCAAAAGTCCAGAAATTACTATATGCACGTAACCCACTTATCCCAAAACCTGCATAACCCAAGTGCACTTGAGCACCTCTGAATGGCTCTAAAAACCCAAACAAAAAACCCAAACAATGAAGGATTTGGAGAGACCTAGTCAAAGTCTAGATTTTAATCCTATTGAGATGCTTTGGCATAACCTTAAACATGCTGGAAAACCCTGCAGGGTGGCGGAATTAAAACAATCCTACAAAAAGGAGTGGCCAAAATTCCCCCACAGTGATGTGAATGAGTGATTGCCAGTTATCACAAATGCTTTATTGTGGTACCCTTGGCAGCAAGAACTGCAATCAGTTAGTAGGTTTAGGGGTTGTGTGTGTGAGTGTGTGTGTGTGTGTGTGAGTGAGTGAGTGAGTGAGTGAGTCTGAGAATGTTGTGTTACTATAATTCTTAATAATACTTAAAACCCTCCTTGGTTGTTTTTTAACCTCATCCTCCCCTTCTTCCTCTTACTTTGTCTCTGTATGTCCTCTCTAGGATCAGACAGTGCCATGCGGTGTTCAGACTCCTCCACTAATGTCCTGGCTTCCAGCATCGCAGCCCCTCTCAGTTTGTCCCTCTCCCCAGCTGTCAGCCCAGAGGACTTTGAGCACCTGTGGCTGCAGCGACAGGCTTTGCATACTGAACGCGGTAATGAAATGGAAGGTTATATTGAAAATTAAAGTCAGAGATTCATAGCTAAAGCTTCCTCTTTATTCGATAGCAAATGTGGTTAAAAGGAGCATGTAGGCCTCCTAAAAATCTTTAACAAGAGTGTGAAATCTCCGTTGGTGGAATATACCAATTCCTCCAAAGTAATGTGTATATACTCAATTACAAATCTGATATACTTTAGATTTGATTAGTGTCAAGCTGTGGCAAATTGATGTTTGAAAGGCTCACAACTGTGTGATAAAGGTCTGAAACCCACACTGCATGTTAGAATGTGTCGGGATGTATTGTAGCTCAGATAGTTAAGATATTCCCATGAGAACACTGCCCTCAGTTAAAAGGGAAATAAGACAACAAAACTGAAACTTTTGGCTGTAAAAGCACTTAATTATACCTAACTGTACCTAATTATACCGAACAAAAATGTTCTGGTTCATCAGTATGGGTTATCGAATAACATGAGAGATCATAACTCTTTTTTGTCATTGCACAGTCATACTTAGCATGATGGTACAATGAAATTGGAAAACTGTCCCACGTCAGCACTAAACACAACAAAACACAACACACAAAGTGGATAAAAACTGCAAAAAAGGTATGAATAATGAGTGCATAGATTCATGATGGAAAATGCTTGTTTTACTCATGTAAGAAGAATGAATTTATTGATACAACTTTCAAATATGAATGTGGTTTGTTCGTTTTCTGTACATTTAGATGACAATTAGTTTCTTGAGAAAATAGCCAGGATATTTAAACCATTATTGAAAATTATAGTTAAATACTGTTTGTACATTACAGCATGAGCAATGATGAACTTGTAATAATAATAGTTATCATTTATTATTATCCATTTACCTTTTTTATCATATGGTGATCATCTGCAGTGACCTCACCACAAGTATTGTGTGTGAGAGAAAACCTCCGGCTTCAGATGGCTTTAAATGTCAGAGTCAGACAGCTTCTTTTTTTTTTTTCTTCTTGACTCTGAGTGAGTAATAAGGTCTCCAGCACATAGATTTAGAAAATAAAATAATTTTTTAAAATTTATGATTTCTCTTGTTTCATGAACATTTGACATTTAGATGAGATGATGATGAGATGAGATAGACTTTATTTGTCAGTTGCAGGTCTTTTGCCCACAGTTTTTACAGTGTTTCTCCACATTTAAAAGCTATCGTTGTGACTTCTTGTGTTGTTGTGACAAGGTGCTGAGAAAATAGAGGAGGTTGACTGTGCGTGGATAGAAGAATGTGTCCGGTGTCCAGCAGTACTTCACTGTTCTCCCCAAAGCCTCCAAGCTGCCATGCAGCTGGTCAATATCCAGACGCTGGCGTTCACGCCACAGCATATGCTGCCCTGGAGGGTCTACCTGTACACACACACCCAGCGCTCCCACTCCATGGACGCACCCAACACTACGCTCATACTGGGGGAGCTGCTATGTACTGGAGAAGCCAATCAGAAATCAGGAGTAAAAAAATGCACAGCTGACAGTGAAGCTGGAGCAGAGGGGAAAGAAGACCAACTGGTGAGAAAGGAAATGGATGCAACAGCTGACAGGCTGAGGGTGAGCGAAGATGGACAGGAAGAGGAGGAGGGAATAAAAGTGATTCTCAATCAGCAACCAAAAGATGATGACGCTCTGAGACAGTTTCTCACAATCCTTATCACTGTACTGAACACACTGTCCTCAGAGAAAGATTAAAAATAGACTTTTCCCCTTTGATCTACATCTTTCCAAATTCATTCATTTGTCACACCGCCTGGGCCTAACAGCATGTTGAAGGAGTAAATACATTCAAAACTGGTCCAACTTTATGAAGCATTGTTATTCTAATAAAACAGGAAAGTACAAGCAACTGACAGTTACTACCCCCTTTTAAGAGAAAACTACCAAAAAGTTGTAAGGTAAACTCAGGGGATTTTTTTTTTTTTAAGCCCAGTTCAGGCTATGTTTGGCCTTATGGGGGCACTATTGTGGATCAGTCCCAATGCACCAAAAGCGGCTGATAAATACTGTTTACCTACAAACACATACAGTGATGATGTTATCTTACCTACCCATGGTGTGCTGCTTTATTATTGTAGTTTATTTGATGCTAGATTGCGTTTGATATGATTTTTAAAATGTTAGTTGGCTGATGAGAAACTGCAAGAGAAATAGAAAATAATTTAAAAATGACTAAGAACTTATAAAATAAAGGAAACCTGTGTATCTGTCTTTTGCTTTTGTGTCAACAATAGCTCAGGGCGTTTGCTTTAATTTCCTGGTGTAGTTCTAAAGAATGTGGCCGCCTTTGAACGTAAGCGGTTGGCTGTCGTCCGACCGTGACGCCACACCTGGTTGGCGTACAGCCTCTGCTACTTGGAGTCGCCTGTTGAGCGTCGGGGACTATAGGTGGAAATACACGTGCAGAATGCGGCAGTGCTGTTTTATATGCATGGGTTCCAAGGGGCGAGTCATTTTTCATTTCCGTGAGTGCCTTTTCTGACTTTCGGTGCGTTGTACTGTAAGTATTATCACGCCGTGACTGCAACTCGTTCACTAACTGTTATCCATCGAGCTGAGGCCAACCGGCGGAGGGAGGTGAGTGGAGATACCGGTCAGGCACAAGTTTATTAGCTTTATAATTTATGTTCCGACTCACAGCAGCTGCTTTTTGTTTTCAGTGACGGGATGGATGGATGCCTGGTTTAGCTCATTTACTGTACCTTCTGCTAACTCTTTATTTGGACTCTTCTCATTTACCGTAGCTGTGGGTTCATACAAGACTTTTCGGTGTGGCTGTGTTTGTGTTATGAGCGACGGTTGGAAATCATTGCTAAACCCTATTGATATGGCTTTTTTAAAGCCTGATCGCGCAGAGACAGTAGCAAGAAAAAAATCTTCCGGATTTCTTAACTTGAAATATCTTCTACGGAAGTCACTTGTTTGTAGACACTATCTGAAAACGTTCCATAGGACTGGCTAGTTTTCTTGCGGTACCTTCTAATTATTAGTGCTGTTTAAGGTAAAACACACGGACAGCTCTCTATACTCTGTCATTTTTGGGTAACTGCGGTTTCGTCGTTCTGTTCGGGAAGCGTTTGTTTCAGCGAGCGTTACATTGCAAAAATCAAAGAGGAGACCGCGTACTAATTATAGATGAGGTGGCCTCGGCTATAATTGGTATCTTCTATGAAGTGACCCTGTACTCGTTGACAAAACAAAGGCATTTTAAAAATCTAAGTAAAGCTTGTCCTCTAGCCTGGCTCTAAGGATTAGTCTGACATGAGACTACGCAACGCTTTTCATATCTCCTTACTTGTCCTTACTTCTCAGTGCGTTTAAAAAAACAAAAGAGTAGGGCAGCCTGGCTATAAACCTCATTCTTATCATCTACAGTGTTTGTTTACTGCTTCCCTGTAACCTCTCTGCCCTTTCCTCTGTTTAGAACTCGGAAACAATGTAACCAAACAAGAAGAAAAAAAGATTACAGTAACAGTCGACACTGGCAGAAACTCCGTCTGAGGGAGACTGCTATGTAATGGCTGTAGGAAATATTCAGACAAGGGAAAAATTAAAGGGGGGGGGAAGCTGAATAAATAATAAACAGTTGCTGCAGATGGTTTCGCTCGAGTAGATTTGGGTAGTTAGGATACAGTGCCATAAAGGCTGAGCCTGCCACATGAGTTTGTCTCAAACTTTAACAGATTGCTCAGCGGGCTTGTGTTTGAAATCAGTTTTTTGCATTTAAATACATCAGTACAAATAAATTGTCTGTAGCTAAAACAATTAGTTATAGTCACACTTAGTTATAGTCACACTGAGTGGGTTGACTGAAAGGGCTTTATGCTGTGGCCTTCAGTCACCGGATCTCAACCCAAATGGGATTTCTTACAGTGTTTAACATCACTAAAATGCCAAATCAACACTTATCTGCTGGAGGAGTGGTGTTCATCCTTTTGTGCCACATTCTAGTACTAAATACCTGTAGCCAAACTGAACTGTGTTTTTACTGTGATCAAGTAGAACTAGACCACTGACAATTAATATCTTAAAAAACATTAACATTAGAAAGAAGATTTATCAGGGTCAGTCAGCACTCTGTGTCATCACTGTTTCACATAGCCCCACAGAAAGCTCACTCATTGAACTTTCACCAAGTTCCAGCACTGGTAAAAGATGAGATAAAATGAGAAATGTACTGAATGGGACAATTTTGTTTCTTGTCCTGAACTGTAAGTGGTTCTCAATGTGCATCTCTATAGAATATGTTAAAGGGCTTTTGCAACTTGCGACACAGGGTTATTTACACCAGAGCAACAGTGTTCAGTAAACTGTATCTGATGCATACAAAGTGTATATATGAGACTCTAAGTTACAACAACACACTCAGTTCCGTGTAACCTGTGTCCAAGCCTTCTGAATCATTAACTATTGGCCGAATTATTTACAGTTGTACTGCGTCACACACCAGCATAATGGATGGAATATCACGTATGTGTTTGTGATAGGAAATGCGGATTCATTCGAAGAAGAAGAATATTGTTGTGGCAGTGCTGCTTGTCATTGGGGGATTATACTTCATTAACCATTCGGACTTCCTTCTGGCTGTAAGAACACACCTACACATAGAATATTTGAGTTATTTTTCAAACTGTGCACCTTACTTACTTGGAGGTAGACTTGTATAAGTCACCATCCCTGTAACTGCACTTGCTCTCATCTTGCTTTGCAAAGTAACAAAGAGTGCATTGTCTCACTCATCAACGTGTATATTCTAATCAGACAATAATCATGTTTTTGTCTTTTGGGTTTGTTTTTGTTGTTGTTGTTTTGCAGGTCTTTGCAAGGTCACCTGAAATGGTTCTTAATGAGTTAACATGGCAAGCAGACAGGCCGGTTAGTATGGAGTCCTGGATTGACCAGGCAGATTATCTGAGTTTCAATGTGTCCTATCAGCTGCTTGCTGGAGTGCTACCTACTCAACAGAGTGAGTCTCCACACTTTGTTCTCATTATTATAATAAGGCTGCTGCTGCCTTTTCAAACTGTAAAAAAAAAAAGAAATTGCAAAAAGTCACGTAGAGAAATAATGACAGCACTTTCCGGTGTTGTTCTCTAACTTATGGAAACTATGGAATGCGTTTTTTCACTGTCACTTGCATATTCCTATTTGTATGAGCAGTTGTGCCTTATTTTGTATTCAAAGGAGCTTGCAAAGAAAAGCGTCTGGACTTCTTTAAGTTGCTTGAAGACGTTTCACCTCTCATCCGAGAAGCTTCTTCAGTTCTAAGGTCAAATGGTGGGGAGTCCCAGATTTAAACCGGCGGTGGTTTACGACACCAACTCTCTGCCATCTATAATCCAGTTTTGAGTTCCCTCCCCAGACGCCTTAATGCCCACTCACATCCTGGGCCATCTGACTTCAGGAATTCGCATGATAAGGTGGGGCCAGGTTTCACAATGAACTCACCCGAAACTCTGGCTGATTGGGACCCACACCCAGTTTCACACCTTGGCTCAGGCGATTAGAGGATCATCAGGGGGTCCTTTTGTCCCTCTGTGGGGGGTTACTCCCACTAGGTTTAAATCTGGGACTCCCCACCATTTGACCCTTAGAACTGAAGAAGCTTCTTGGATGAGAGGTGAAACGTCTTCAAGCAACTTAAAGAAGTCCAGATGCTTTTCTTTGCAAGCTCCTTTGACTACGATGACCTGGATGATTGAGAACCTTCACAGACTTATTTTGTATTATTTTGGTATTTATGTCATGCATTTATTGCTTTTATTTCAATGCTAATTCTCCTTTTTTTGTTTTACTTTTATTTACTCACAGTCTGAAGGTGTTACCATGCTGAATTTCATACCACATTATTTAATAATTGTTATCAGAAATACTTTTTAACCTCAGCTTTAGATTTGAAATGGCATAAAACCCTTCACTTTTTTTCCTTTTTCTTTCGGCTTCAGAGTATTTATCTGTTGGATTATCCTCAGTAAAGAGGAAGAAGGGCAGCTATCTGGTCCCCACATTGAAATCCATCTTCTCCCAGTCGTCTCCTGAGGAGCACTCCTTCATGGTGGTGGTAGTGCTGCTAGCAGATTTCGACGTCAGCTGGAGAGTCGACACTGTGAAGGAGATCAAATCAGCTTTTGCCTCTGAGTTGGAAAAAGGCCACCTTTTGGTCATCCATGTTCCCCAGGACTGGTACCCTCCGATTACAGGTGCAGCTCACATGCGATCACCCCTAGTGTACATATTCATTCACATACAGTTTGAATGTTTTTTTTTTTCCTGTGATACAAATCTGTCTGGTTCTCTGTAGGTCTGAAGAGGAATTTCAACGATGCTCCAGAAAGGGTAACGTTCCGCTCCAAGCAGAACCTGGATTATTCCTTCCTCATCCACTACTGTGCAGGTCTTGGACGGTATTACCTCCAGCTAGAGGATGATGTGTTCTCTGCAAAAAACTTCCTCACAACCATTAAAAAGCGAGTTGAGGAGCAAGAAGGAAAGAAGTTCACCTGGGCAACGTTGGAATTCTCTGCCCTCGGCTATATTGGTAAACTCTACAAATCAGCCCATCTTCCTCTTCTGGCTCGCTTCCTCTTCATCTTTTACCAGGAAATGCCCTGTGACTGGTTGATGACTCACTTCCGAGAGGTGATGACTCAAAAGGAGACCATCCTTTTCAAACCCTCGCTTTTTCAACACATGGGAACTTTCTCCTCATTTCAA